CTGTGGGGCCGGCCGCACCGGGTATGATGCACAGCGCTTGCTTCCTTCTCCGTCTCATGCCTGTGGGCCAGCGCCGGCCAGGAGAGCTCTGCAGTGATGACAGCGGTCTCGCTGGGCACGTGAAGTGTGGCTGGTGCCACAGAGGAACTGAGTGGTTCGTTTCAATTAATTTACACTTAAGTAGCCACCTGTGGCCCGTGGCTGTCTCACTGAGCAGTGCAGGCATAGACTCAGCCAGGACCCTCTTGCTGCCAGGGGGGGAAATGCATCATTGATAACATTCATCTAGACCAGCCGTGGGCAAACTACGGCCCACAGGCCGGATCCGGCCCGTTCGGCTGTTCTATCCGGCCCGCGGAGCCGAAAGAGCGGAGGGTTCTCTTGCTCTCGCCTCTGCCCCTTCACCAGCAGCAGTGTTAACATGTACTAGTTCACACAAACACTCCATCCATGCTTTTGTTCCGGCCTCCGGTCCAGTTTAATAACCCATTGTGGCCCTCGAGTCAAAAAGTTTGCCCACCCCTGATCTAGATTCATAAAAAGCAGGCCCTTCTAAGGGGCTGATAACATACGAAGGCCCAGAGAGGGACAGGGACTTGCCCTGGCCACACCGCGAGGTAGCATCCCTCTGCGGCAGAAACCCGAGTCCTCAACCCCGGCTTCTTCATTGTTTCCGAGGAATGTGAGCGCTCCCCTCTGTGCAGGGGGCAGGGGCGTGGGTCTGATGGGCGCCAGCAGTGCTCACTGTGCGGAACACATTTAAGTGTATCGCACGTCTCATTTATTCCCTTCAGCCTCGCTTTACAGGTGAGGCCCCGGAGGCCCAGAAGGTGAAGTGCCTGTCCCCGGTCCGGAGCCCGTAAACCACGGGCTGGGGTCTTGTCAGGCCCCGTGATTGCAATCCCAGAACGTCCCCGGTCTCTGCCCCGGAAGGTCCAGGCGCGTGCGATGTGGGCTCACACGCCCAGTGGGGCAGGTGCGGCGCAGCGAATGAGCTGCCACGGACCACTCTCCATGGAGCTGTTTTTCCAGCCTCGTCTCCTGAGAGGCGGCTCCTGCAGGTGCCACACCTGGCGTTCTGCCTCCTCTTAGGGCCCCACTTGAGGGGCGGGGTCTCTCCCCTGATAGCCCAGGAGCAGGCACGGCCCCATCTTGCTCTCTGCTCTCTCCTGGTGCAGGGGCACACAGCAGGCTGCGCCTTCACCCCATCTCCCTGAGGGGCCGGGCCACGCCCTTCCTGTGATCACCCAGTTCTGGCCCCAGAATCCCGTGGGGTGCAAGTAGGGTCACTGGATAAAAACAGCACACCCGCCTAAGTTTGAATTTCAGACAAACAACAAATAAATGTTCAGTGTGACCGTGTCCATGTGTATTTAGGACACACTTGTACTAAAAATTATTCATGTCGCTGAAATGAAAGTTTAATAGTACATCTGGGTTTTTCTGTTTGTTTAGCTTTGCTTTGCTTTGTTTGCTCAATCTGGCAAGCCTACACGGGTGGCACCATCCCCA